CCACCTCGTGCAGATGGGGGTCGGTACTGTACCATGCAGCCGAAAACTCTTAACATTTTTGTGCTGCCCTGTTTTCCTGTCCACAGCAAGTGCGGTGATGCGTTGTTCGGGAGCGATGATGACGAGAGCAAGTTGTGCAGCATGACAGCGTGGTCCATTGCTTCGGGCCACTCGTGGTTGGGCAGTCGCATGCCTCGTAGCATCTTGCGCATGGTATTCTGGAGAGTCCTGTTCATCCTTTCTGCTACGCCTTGCTGTTGGTGAGCGTAGGGAAGAGAGATGAGCCTCTTGATCCCTCTTTCTGCCAAGTACTGCTTGAACCTCTATGAGGTGTATTCTCCTCCTCCGTCTGATTGGAAGCCTTTTAGCTTCACGCCCGTGTCAGAATATTATGCTCTAGCCTGTAGTGGGGTGCTCTATAGCGAGTACAACCCTTCTAGGGTTTGCTATTTGTATCCTCATTCTTGCTAGTGCAACCTCCTCTTTTACCTAACTCTCTCTTGCCTAGCTAGGTAAACCCTAGCTATGGCTCCTCACTATACCTACTACTCTCACATGCTATCAGAGCTAGTACGCTCCTGGCCTGTGGGCCCACCTGCTTCTGCTGCTATCCTGTCTGTCGCGCGCCCCGTGGCGTGCGACGTTTATTTTCTTCCCGCCACGTGCTCGGGGCGCATGGCGGTTTTCTGCCCACCGCGCGCTCGGGGCGCACGGCGGTTTTCTGCCTCACGCGTCACCCGGAGGACCCGCGGGTCCCTCCACGTCGACCGTCGTGTCACCCAGGGACCCGCGCATCCCTCGTCGTCGACCGTCGCACCGCCCCCGGAGAACCGCGCGTCCACCCCGTCGACCGTCGCGTCGCCCCTGGGGACCCGCGTGCGCCCCCCGCGATCCCGTTGCGTCGCCCTAGGGACCCGCGCGCGGCCCCCGCCATCCCGGCGCGCCACCCCGTGGGACCCGTGCGTCGCTTCGTGGACCCGCGTGTCGCCCTGCGGCCCCCCTCCCCGCACACCTGAGTTCGCTTACTGCACACCCGAGTTCGCTTCCCGCACGCTTGTGCACGCTTCGCGCACACCTGAGCTTGCTTACCGCACACTCAGGGTATGGGGGTGATGGGTATGGGGGTGGCGGGTGTGTGAGCGGTCCCCTGCTCCTCCTCCTCCTCCGTCTCCCGCTGCTGCAGCTGCCGCTGAGGGGGGTGGGTGTGTGGGAGACGAAGGAGTGGTGCTAGGGGGGTGACATGTGAGTGACCCTAGGGGTATAGTAGGGGGTGTGTGAAATGGGGGTGGGATAGTTTGGGGAGGTTGAAGGGGGTGGCCGCCGAGAAGCCAGCAGCTCCAGTCGCTCGTGAGACCGTTGCGCCAGTCGCCCGTGAGCCCGTTGCGCCAGTCGCCCGTGAGCCCGTTGCTCCAGTCGCCCGTGAGTCCGTTGCTCGTCTGCCGCTACTTTTAGCCGCGGAGCCAGTTACTCCAGTAGCCCGTGTGCCAATTGCTCCATTTGCCAGTGTGCCAGTTGCTCCAGTTGCTCGTGTGCCAGTTGCTCTAGTTGCGCCGTGTGCCAGCAGCTTCAGCTGCCGCCCACTACCTCCTCTCCTCTCATAGTCCCTCCTCCTCCACACTAGCCCTCTGCGATAGCCTCTAGCTTTGCTCATAATTGTGGGCTTACCTACCTACTACTCTAGCCCGATTCTCGTTCTGCTACTGGGAGCCAAGCGTCAAAGGCCTCGAAAGCCATGTCCTTGCTCGGAAGGTTAAGGTGCCAAACGTAACGCGTAGCGGCATCGATGAACGTGATGGTGTAGCTATATGCTCCTTGTCCAGGTTCGCGATTGTACAGGATGTCGCTGTACACTTTCTCAAGTGGTGCGTAAGCTGGTGCGCTGGGGTTATGGTGAGAAGAGAATGGCCGATGTGGTAAGTCAGCTTCGGGGCAGGTAAAGCACGTTCCACGAGCTCGTCGAAGTTCGCTTCCGTCGGTTAGGAGCAGTGAATCTTTGTAGAGCACTCCTGCTCTGATTGTGATGTTTGACACCGTGTTGCTTGGATGTCCCATTCGTGCGTGCCAGATGTCTTCGCCAGCTCGATGTCCGGGTGAGCGACGGTACAAGTCGGAGTTGGAGTAGAAGCTTGCGGTGAAGTTTGCGCTTCGATGTACTTCTCGTGGTGTTGGGTTAAGTTGCTGCGCAGGAGTGGGTGGGATGTCATCCTCGATTGGAGCCGGTGCAGTTGAAGGACCATCGATTGGTGTCGATGTTGCCGCTGCTGCTGCCGTTGTTTCTGCTGCTGCCGATGTTGTCTCCGCTCCTGCCGATGTTGTTTCTGCTGCTGCCGATGTTGTCTCCGCTGCTGTCGAGTGTTGAATCGATGCTAATGCTCTTGTTCGTTCTACCTCATGGATGGTGTGCGAGTACCAGAAGCCTTCGTGGCTGAAGTCGGGGTCGAGATCCGGTGGATGTGTCCAGGAGGTAAAAGTGACGATCCCGTCGCTGTCAACTGTGCCGAGATCTGGGACGAAGACGTTATTTTTCAAGACCGCCTTCCCGAAGTAGAGACCGCCCTTCCCGTGGTATAACTTAAGCTCCTGAGTGGTGCTATCTGCTTCGAGGTGTATGCCCTTTGCCATCAGTTGACTAACGCTTAGTAAGTTGTAGCCGAGTCCTTCTGCTATTAAAACCTTTGACATTTGTAGTATGACGTTTGTCTCTCGTGACTGAAGTTGAACTATGCCTTGTCGTCGTGTGCACAGGTTCTGGTTGTTCGCGACGGTGATGACGACTTCCCGCTGGAGTTGGTATTCCCGTTGAACGAAGCGACCTGAATAGCACATGTGTTGTCCGCAGCAGCTGTCCAAGAACCAGGTATCCTTCCCAGACGGTTCGTTTTGGGCGATGGTTGCGTACGTTGGGTTCGGTTGCAGCGACTCTCGACGTGGAGTCCTTTTGTCGAGTTATTCTTCTGGTGAGTAGTGCGGCGGCGATTCAGTGATGCAGGAGTTGGTCAATCTTGCCATGCAGCTGACGATGTTCCTTGTTTCTTGTGCAGGTTGTCCCGTCGACATTGTTGACGATTGAACTTGAGTGGTGGAATTTGCTTGCGTTGAGGCAACTTGACTGCTTGAAGGTCGGAGCTGCCGCTGCGTTGGTGCTGACTGCTGCCGGTTAGGGCAATGTGTGCGGGGATGACCTGGCGTCTTGCAGAGATGACAGAACGGAGGTACGGGTTGTTGACCTTGGTACTTGTTTTGCCGATGGTTGTTGTTGTTGTTGTAGCGCCGTTGAGTGTGGAAGGCGAACTCAGGCACTGACGTCTTCCTCTTGTGTATTTCTTCTTGTAGGTCCATGTCTTGCTGTTCGGCGTGAATCTCGGCGCAGAGAATTGCTTCGGAGATTTTCCCGTGGGCTCGGAGAATGGCTCGGGTGGAGTGCCATTGCGGACCAAGGCCGCCAGTGATGACTGTGACGAAGGCGTCTTCGGATATCGTTCCTCCGCATCGAAGAAGCTTGTCGCGCAACTCGCGACAGCGACTGATATACGCCATCCCCTTTTCGCCCGGTTTCATTTCCACTGTTGTCAATTGCGCCATCAACCGACTCTGATTGACGATGTCTGTTGCTTGATGTAGGTTCTTCAGGTGTTTGTATGCGAGTTCGGCAGAGTTGCCGTATCCCCGGTAAGACCGAATGTTCTGTTGCTGATTCGGAGTGATGTTCCTCAGTAGAATTGTGTACGCCATCATCGACTGATACGTGTACTGCTGCTTGTCGTATTGCGTGCCGTTTGTTGGATATGGCAGGGACCCGTCGAAGAAGCTGAGTATCTGCGCGCCTTCCATCATTAGCTCAAACTCGAATGACCAGGTGAAGAAGTCCTTCCCGTCGAATGGTCTTGAAGTTTGCAGTTTCAAGACATGTGCGAATTGCGACTGAACTTGGAGTGCGTCCAACGTCTTCTCTTGTCGAGGTGAAGGTTGCTGGTGCGGCATGAAGCTGATGGAACCTCGCTGGGGCTCGTACAGAGCGAAGGTAGGTTGTTGCTGATTTCCTCGTGCGTAGGATGAACCGTCGAGGCTCATCGGTGTTGCGTTGTTGTTGTTGCTGTTGTTTGACTGCGCAGGTGCCCCTTGCTGATGTTGTTCGTAGAAGGACATGAAGGAGAAGAATTTCTCCATCATGTCTAGGTCGAAGGCCGCGGCTTGATTTGCGGGAGTTTCGATAGACCCAGCTGCTGGTCTTGTCGTTGTGCCCTCCTCTGTCTGTAAGCTAGAGGCAGGAGGTGGAGTAGGAGTAGTACCGGGAGAGCCGTTAGAGGAGCTTCTCTCCTTCTGCGTTGCCATGCCTTGTGATGTGGGTGTTTTGATTGCAGTTGAATTTGTCCTGATAGCTCTCATACCATGTTGGGCTGAGAAAAGCCCTTAGGATCTGTGCAGGACTAAATTCTGAGTAGGACAATGTAATAGCGGAAGCGTTTAATGAGAAGTTTGTGAACCACCTTGCGCTGGTATGTGAGGGCAAAGTAGATTGATTAAAGCATAAGGACACAAGCTTTTATAAGAGTACAAGGAATACGAAGAGATACAGTTAATAACCGTTTTACTATTGCTGTTGAGGTTCGACACAGTGACGACTCGAGCAACTGCTCAATAGCGAGTCAGTTGTTTGTCCTTGTTGTCGCGCTGTTCTTGTCAGGTCAAAGGTCGCTGACCTTTGACTTTCGCGTAACCTCCAGCAGTTGTTCAACCTCCGAGGGTTGACTCGCTAATGCTTTGATATGTTCCGCTTCGCTTCTGACTTGGTGTTTCGACACGACAGAGGCGCTAAATCAATTGTTTCCAACAAATTATAAGCCCACCCCCCTAAAAAACCCTGTTTTATTATACCTCCCCATGGGGACTTATCCGGGGGGTGACGGTATTCTAAACCTGTCGGTCTGGTATGCTAATATTATTCAAGGAAGTAACACAAATTTCGAATTCATGTTATTCCAGAAGTGTGACCACCACTACTATTCCCCTCTAGCTTCCATAGTGCTAACTGCCCCCAAAGCTGCTTTCAACTCTCCAAACTCCCCAACATCAGAAAAATGGTCTCCCTGCGGACAAACAAGAGAAAGGAAGGAGCTTTCAGATACGCATACGTGCTTGGAGGTTGGAGAATGAACAACATTTGAGGCGCCTTATTTATGAACTCCACAAATGCCTAGTAAGTCTTTCCAGCCCTTTCAAGCGAAAGCAATCGGACATACAATCACAATAGATTGTACCAGATTGTAGTAATAACATCTTCCCTTTCCATGTTACCTGCTTCAAGATGTTGCTTAGAAGCATGCGCACCGATGCCAACCTCCTTTTGCCAGCACCACTCACTCTCACTCCCTCCCCTTCTCTCTCCTCCACTCCTTCCCTCTTCACTTCCTCCATCCCCTCTTCCCCAGCCACCCCTCGCACCACTGCCACCGTCCACCTCAGCGCCGCCCGTGTCAGCTGGCGGAACGCATCTGGCTCGCCGTGCTGCCAGCTGGCAGACTGCAGCGAGCGCACGTGGCGCAGGAAGGCCTCCGCTGCCACGTCAGCATCGCCCACGGCTTCCAGGAAGGTTCCTTGCAGGCGGTAAATCTCCGGCACTCCTGCTCCTGACGCCACTGCCTGTTGGTGTTTGTTTAGGTTTAGGGGGATGACAAGTGGAATGGTGGGGGGTTGAGGGGATGTGGTGGTTACGGGATTTGTCTATCAAGCAGTAAATCTCCGGCACCCCTGCTCCTGACGCCACCGCCTGTTGGTGTTTGTTTAGGTTAGAGGGGGTTGACAAGTAAGGCAGTGGGGGTCGAGCAGAGGTGGCGGCTGAAGGATATGCACAATGTGTGTCAAGCATAAGGCAGCAAAGGCAGCAGCAGAGTGTCGTGAATCTTGCATAAACCGAGGACGGCATCCCACCTTTCCCAGAAGCTTCCTCAGCTCGGTTTCAAGCCTGGCGGCCTCCCTTTCGTTCATGGGACCGCCACTCCCTGCTTGCGTCCCTCCATCCTCCTTATAAGCACCATTCGTTTCTGGCACACCATTCCCCTCTCCTCCACCCTCTCCTCCACCCTCCCCGCCCACCGCCTCCTCTCCCCCTGCCATCTTGCCCAGATCCAACGGCTGTAAACTCATCATCAAATCATCAATCTCACCACCATCCCCATCTCTCCCCTCCAACCCCTCCCCACCACCCTCACCTCCACCCTCCTCTCCCCTTCTCCCTCCCTCGCCATCTCCGCTGTTCTCCTCCTCCTCCTCCCCTTTCCCGCCTCTCCTATTCCTCTCCACCACCCCTATCAGCCCCTCTAGCACGGTTGTGTCGACCCGCTTGCCCTGAGTGAGCTCCAGCACTCGTGATGCTGCTCTGACAGCCTTTGGGGGAGAAGCACGGGGGGAGAGGGGGGTAAGTGGGGGTTGGGGGAGAGTGGGTTGAAGCAATACTTGTGTCGACCCGCTTGCCTTGAGTGAGCTCCAGCACTCGTGATGCTGCTCTCACCGCCTTTGGGGGGCGGGGGAGTGAGAGAGGGGAAAGTGGGGGGTGGGGGAGGGTGGGTTGAAGCAACACCCGTGTCGACCCGCTTTCCCTGAGTCAACTCGAGCAATCGTGATGCTGCCCTCACCACCTTCGGGGGGAGAGAGAGTGGGGAGAGGAAGGCGAGGGGGAAGAGTGGGGGAAGGTGGAGGGGGGTTTAGGGCAGGGGAAGAGATGAAGAGAGTAGGGGGAGATATAGGGAAGTAAGCAGCACCCGTGTCAACTCGCTTGCAATGGGTGAGCTCGAGCACTCATGATGCTGCTCTAACAGCCTTTGGGGGGAGAGAGAGAGAGGAGGGAGAGGAATGGGTGGGGGGAGAATGGGGGAGGTGGCATGGGGTTGGGTTGGGGGCAGGTTAGAGCAGGGAGAGAGAGGAAGTAGGTGCTGTGGGGTGGGGCGAGGGTAGGGGGGGGAGGGAGAGAGAGGACCAGGGGCCGGGGTGATAAAGGGATGCGGAGAGCAGAGAGAGAGGAAGAGGCAACTGAGAGTACTTGTTTGAGAGGAGAGGAAGAAGAAGCTATAGTTCCACGTACAGGGGAGGCGGGGAGAGAGGAGAGGACGGGGATATAAGCCATTTACAGTTTCTTGAAGTATTATATACCCAATACTATAAGATTCCAATTTGAATTTCAAGAGTCCCAATGCTATAACACGTCCAAGATGGCACCCTACCTGGTGGCACCCTGCCCCACCTGCTGGCACCGCATCACACCTGCTGGCAACCCACCGCACCTGCTGGTAGCTCTTCACATCCAGAGCCACCTTCGCAAAGTTTTCCCACAGGTGCCAGTCCTCTCCCCTGTGGAAAGGAGAGTGGGAGGCGGGGGAGGGGGACGGGGGTGAAGCTGTGTGAAGGGGTTGGAGTGATGGGGCGGAGTGGTGGGGCGGAACGATGGGGAGGAGCGATGGGGAGGAGCAATGGGGAGGAGCAATGGGGAAGCAGGAGTGATGAGGAGTGGATCACAGTAGTTCTCCTGCAAGAGCACACATCTCAACTCCTTGTATCCCATTGCACTCCCTACTCACTTGTGCTTAAGTGCCTCCTGTAGTGTCTTAAACGCCTCTTGCATTCGGTTGCGCTGTAAGTTGCTGCCATGCCAAGGGGGTTTCAAAGTGTGAATGTTTAAATGGTATATAAGGTGTGGAGGACAGGCAGGAAGAAAGACAGGAAGGTAAGTTTCTCCCATGGCAGCCAAGGTGTGAACGGAAAATGATATGTCCGGTCATGAGTAAGAGAAAGAGCACGAGCTATGCTAGCATTGATGTGTTGTGCGATGCGAGCATGAGCTAGCAAGGCAAGACATCAATGCCGAGCATCGCATGCCATGATAATCTCAGTCAAGTTGTGCAAAGCCAAGTTGTGCAAAGCCAAGTTGTGCAAAGCCAAGTTGTGCAAAGCCAAGTTGTGCAAAGCCAAGTTGTGCAAAGCCAAGTTGTGCAAAGCCAAGTTGTGCAAAGCCAAGTTGTGCAAAGCCAAGTTGTGCAAAGCCAAGTTGTGCAAAGCCAAGTTGTGCAAAGCCAAGTTGTGCAAAGCCAAGTTGTGCAACGCCAAGTTGTGCAAAGCCAAGCTGTGCAAAGCCAAGTTGTGCAAAGCCAAGCTGTGCAAAGCCAAGCTGTGCAAAGCCAAGCTGTGCAAAGCCAAGCTGTGCAAAGCCAAGCTGTGCAAAGCCAAGCTGTGCAAAGCCAAGCTGTGCAAAGCCAAGCTGTGCAAAGCCAAGCTGTGCAAAGCCAAGCTGTGCAAAGCCAAGCTGTGCAAAGCCAAGTTGTGCAAAGCCAAGCTGTGCAAAGCCAAGCTGTGCAAAGCCAAGTTGTGCAAAGCCAAGCTGTGCAAAGCCAAGCTGTGCAAAGCCAAGCTGTGCAAAGCCAAGTTGTGCAAAGCAAAGCTGTGCAAAGCCAAGCTGTGCAAAGCCAAGTTGTGCAAAGCCAAGTTGTGCAGCAAGCAGGCACGCCAGCATTAGCGTGCAAGCATGAGCATGCATGCATGACCGTGCATGCATGAGCATGCATGCATGAGCGTGCATACATGAGTGTGCATGCATGAGCGTGCATGCATTAGTGTGCATGGATGACTGTGCATGCATGAGCGTGCATGCATGAGCGTACAAGCATGGCCGTGCATGCATGACCGTGCAAGCATGGCCGTGCATGCATGACCGTGCAAGCATGGCCGTGCATGCATGACCGTGCAAGCATGGCCGTGCATGCATGAGCGTGCAAGCATGGCCGTGCATGCATGACCGTGCATGCATGAGCGTGCATGCATGACCGTGCATGCATGAGCGTGCATGCATTAGCGTGCATGCATGAGCGTGCATGCATGAGCGTGCATGCATTAGCGTGCAGGCATGACCGTGCATGCATGAGCGTGCATGCATGAGCGTGCAAGCATGACCGTGCATGCATGAGCGTGCATGCATGAGCGTGCATGCATGACCGTGCATGCATGAGCGTGCATGCATGAGCGTGCATGCATGAGCGTGCACGCATGAGCGTGCATGCATTAGCGTGCATGCATGAGCGTGCAAGCATGACCGTGCATGCATGAGCGTGCAAGCATGACCGTGCATGCATGAGCGTGCATGCATGACCGTGCATGCATGAGCGTGCATGCATTAGCGTGCATGCATGAGCGTGCATGCATGAGCGTGCATGCATTAGCGTGCAGGCATGACCGTGCATGCATGAGCGTGCATGCATGAGCGTGCAAGCATGACCGTGCATGCATGAGCGTGCATGCATGAGCGTGCATGCATGAGCGTGCATGCATGAGCGTGCATGCATGAGCGTGCATGCATGAGCGTGCATGCATTAGCGTGCATGCATGAGCGTGCAAGCATGACCGTGCATGCATGAGCGTGCATGCATGAGCGTGCATGCATGAGCGTGCAAGCATGAGCGTGCATGCATGAGCGTGCATGCATGAGCGTGCATGCATGAGCGAGCATGCATGAGCGTGCAAGCATGGCCGTGCATGCATGAGCGTGCAACAAGACTGTGCATGCATGAGCGTGCATGCATTAGCATGCATAAATGAGCGTGCCTGCATGAGCGTGCATGCATGAGCGTGCATGCATTAGCGTGCTTGCATGAGCGTGCATGCATGAGCATGCATGCATGAGCGTGCATGCATGAGCGTGCATGCATTAGCGTGCATGCATTAGCGTGCATGCATTAGCGTGCATGCATTAGCGTGCATGCATTAGCGTGCATGCATTAGCGTGCATGCATTAGCGTGCATGCATTAGCGTGCATGCATTAGCGTGCATCCATGAGCGTGCATGCATTAGCGTGCATGCATTAGCGTGCATGCATGAGCGTGCATGCATTAGCGTGCATGCATGACCGTGCATGCATGAGCGTGCATGCATGAGCGTGCATGCATGAGCGTGCATGCATGAGCGTGCATGCATGAGCATGCAAGCATGAGCGTGCATGCATGAGCGTGCATGCATGAGCGTGCATGCATGAGCGAGCATGCATGAGCGTGCAAGCATGACCGTGCATGCATGAGCGTGCAACAAGACTGTGCATGCATGAGCGTGCATGCATTCGCGTGCATAAATGAGCGTGCATGCATGAGCGTGCATGCATGAGCGTGCATGCATTAGCATGCACGCATTAGTGTGCATGCATTAGCGTGCATGCATGAGCGTGCATGCATGAGCATGCATGCATGAGCGTGCATGCATGAGCGTGCATGCATTAGCGTGCATGCATTAGCATGCATGCATTAGCGTGCATGCATGAGCGTGAATGCATTAGCGTGCATGCATTAGCGTGCATGCATTAGCGTGCATGCATTAGCGTGCATGCATTAGCGTGCATGCATTAGCGTGCATGCATTAGCGTGCATCCATGAGCGTGCATGCATTAGCGTGCATGCATTAGCGTGCATGCATGACCGTGCATGCATGAGCGTGCATGCATGAGCGTGCATGCATGAGCGTGCATGCATGAGCGTGCATGCATGAGCATGCAAGCATGAGCGTGCATGCATGAGCGTGCATGCATGAGCGTGCATGCATGAGCGAGCATGCATGAGCGTGCAAGCATGGCCGTGCATGCATGAGCGTGCAACAAGACTGTGCATGCATGAGCGTGCATGCATTAGCGTGCATAAATGAGCGTGCATGCATGAGCGTGCATGCATGAGCGTGCATGCATTAGCGTGCATGCATGAGCGTGCATGCATGAGCGTGCATGCATTAGCGTGCAGGCATGACCGTGCATGCATGAGCGTGCATGCATGAGCGTGCAAGCATGACCGTGCATGCATGAGCGTGCATGCATGAGCGTGCATGCATGAGCGTGCATGCATGAGCGTGCATGCATGAGCGTGCATGCATGAGCGTGCATGCATGAGCGTGCATGCATTAGCGTGCATGCATGAGCGTGCAAGCATGACCGTGCATGCATGAGCGTGCAAGCATGACCGTGCATGCATGAGCGTGCATGCATGACCGTGCATGCATGAGCGTGCATGCATTAGCGTGCATGCATGAGCGTGCATGCATGAGCGTGCATGCATTAGCGTGCAGGCATGACCGTGCATGCATGAGCGTGCATGCATGAGCGTGCAAGCATGACCGTGCATGCATGAGCGTGCATGCATGAGCGTGCATGCATGAGCGTGCATGCATGAGCGTGCATGCATGAGCGTGCATGCATGAGCGTGCATGCATGAGCGTGCATGCATGAGCGTGCATGCATTAGCGTGCATGCATGAGCGTGCAAGCATGACCGTGCATGCATGAGCGTGCATGCATGAGCGTGCATGCATGAGCGTGCAAGCATGAGCGTGCATGCATGAGCGTGCATGCATGAGCGTGCATGCATGAGCGAGCATGCATGAGCGTGCAAGCATGGCCGTGCATGCATGAGCGTGCAACAAGACTGTGCATGCATGAGCGTGCATGCATTAGCATGCATAAATGAGCGTGCCTGCATGAGCGTGCATGCATGAGCGTGCATGCATTAGCGTGCATGCATGAGCGTGCATGCATGAGCATGCATGCATGAGCGTGCATGCATTAGCGTGCATGCATTAGCGTGCATGCATTAGCGTGCATGCATTAGCGTGCATGCATTAGCGTGCATGCATTAGCGTGCATGCATTAGCGTGCATGCATTAGCGTGCATGCATTAGCGTGCATCCATGAGCGTGCATGCATTAGCGTGCATGCATTAGCGTGCATGCATGAGCGTGCATGCATTAGCGTGCATGCATGACCGTGCATGCATGAGCGTGCATGCATGAGCGTGCATGCATGAGCGTGCATGCATGAGCGTGCATGCATGAGCATGCAAGCATGAGCGTGCATGCATGAGCGTGCATGCATGAGCGTGCATGCATGAGCGAGCATGCATGAGCGTGCAAGCATGACCGTGCATGCATGAGCGTGCAACAAGACTGTGCATGCATGAGCGTGCATGCATTAGCGTGCATAAATGAGCGTGCATGCATGAGCGTGCATGCATGAGCGTGCATGCATTAGCATGCACGCATTAGTGTGCATGCATTAGCGTGCATGCATGAGCGTGCATGCATGAGCATGCATGCATGAGCGTGCATGCATGAGCGTGCATGCATTAGCGTGCATGCATTAGCATGCATGCATTAGCGTGCATGCATGAGCGTGAATGCATTAGCGTGCATGCATTAGCGTGCATGCATTAGCGTGCATGCATTAGCGTGCATGCATTAGCGTGCATGCATTAGCGTGCATGCATTAGCGTGCATCCATGAGCGTGCATGCATTAGCGTGCATGCATTAGCGTGCATGCATGACCGTGCATGCATGAGCGTGCATGCATGAGCGTGCATGCATGAGCGTGCATGCATGAGCGTGCATGCATGAGCATGCAAGCATGAGCGTGCATGCATGAGCGTGCATGCATGAGCGTGCATGCATGAGCGAGCATGCATGAGCGTGCAAGCATGGCCGTGCATGCATGAGCGTGCAACAAGACTGTGCATGCATGAGCGTGCATGCATTAGCGTGCATAAATGAGCGTGCATGCATGAGCTTGCATGCATGAGCGTGCATGCATTAGCATGCATGCATGAGCGTGCATGCATTAGCGTGCATGCATTAGCGTGCATGCATGAGCGTGCATGCATTAGCGTGCATGCATGAGCGTGCATGCATTAGCGTGCATGCATTAGTGTGCATGCATTAGCGTGCATGCATTAGCGTGCATGCATTAGTGTGCATGCATTAGCGTGCATGCATTAGCGTGCATGCATTAGCGTGCATGCATTAGCGTGCATGCATTAGTGTGCATGCATTAGCGTGCATGCATTAGCGTGCATGCATTAGCATGCATGCATTAGTGTGCATGCATTAGCGTGCATGCATGAGCGTGCATGCATGAGCTTGCATGCATGAGCGTGCATGCATTAGCATGCATGCATGAGCGTGCATGCATTAGCATGCATGCATTAGCGTGCATGCATGAGCGTGCATGCATTAGCGTGCATGCATGAGCGTGCATGCATTAGCGTGCATGCATTAGTGTGCATGCATTAGCGTGCATGCATTAGCGTGCATGCATTAGCGTGCATGCATTAGCGTGCATGCATTAGCGTGCATGCATGAGCGTGCACGCATGAGCTTGCATGCATGAGCGTGCATGCATTAGCATGCACGCATGAGCGTGCATGCATTAGCATGCATGCATTAGCGTGCATGCATGAGCGTGCATGCATTAGCGTGCATGCATGAGCGTGCATGCATTAGCGTGCATGCATTAGTGTGCATGCATTAGCGTGCATGCATTAGCGTGCATGCATTAGCGTGCATGCATTAGCGTGCATGCATTAGCGTGCACGCATTGCTGACCATTGCTGTGCAAGCATGACCTGACCTGAGCACTCGCAGCATAGACTAGGCACTCACAGCACCGCCAGGTTGTTCCACGCCTCCCCGTTGTCTGGGTCGATCTGCACCGAACGTGTGAGCGCATACAGCGCCTTGTCCCCGTCACATGCCTGCAACCAGCTCATGAATGGGAGTTGGGAGACATGTGGCAAGCAGGCAGGGGTCAAACGGATGAACGCAGGTGGGCTGAACAAACATGTGTGTGGGATCCGCACTGCAGCCCACCTGTTGGCCTATCACGACTTAGAGACTGAAGTTATGACTTAACCTGTTAGTACAGTCGATACATCTCTCACTTACTGCTACTAAGTGAACGCCCTCCACAGCTAGGTTGTAATCCAGAAAGAGCCAACCAAGAGATGACATTTGAGTCGACTCAAAAGTCGTCTAAACGCAATCCATAGCTAGGTTGTAATCCAGAAAGAGCCAACCAAGAGATGACTTGTGAGTCGACTCAAAAGTCGTCTCAACGCACTCCATAGCTAGGTTGTAATCCAGAAAGAGCCAACCAAGAGATGACTTTTGAGTGGACTTAAAAGTCGTCTCAACGCACTCCATAGCTAGGTTGTAATCTAGAGAGAGCCAACCAAGACATGACTTTTGAGTCGACTCAAAAGTCGTCTCAGCGCACTCCATAGCTAGGTTGTAATCCAGAAAGAGCCAACCAAGACATGACTTTTAAGTCGACTCAAAGTCGTCTCAACACACTCCATAGCTAGGTTGTAATCCAGAAAGAGCCAACCAAGAGATGACTTTTGAGTCGACTCAAAAGTCGTCTCAACGCACTCCATAGCTAGGTTGTAATCCAGAAAGAGCCAACCAAGAGATGACTTTTGAGTCGACTCAAAAGTCGTCTCAACGCACTCCATAGCTAGGTTGTAATCCAGAAAGAGCCAACCAAGAGATGACTTTTGAGTCGACTCAAAAGTCGTCTCAACACACTCCATAGCTAGGTTGTAATCCAGAAAGAGCCAACCAAGACATGACTTTTAAGTCGACTCAAAAGTCGTCTCAACGCACTCCATAGCTAGGTTGTAATCCAGAACGAGCAAACCAAGAGATGACTTTTGAGTCGACTCAAAAGTCGTCTCAACGCACTCCATAGCTAGGTTGTAATCCAGAAAGAGCCAACCAAGAGATGACTTTTGAGTTGACTCAAAAGTCGTCTCAACGCACTCCATAGCTAGGTTGTAATCCAGAAAGAGCCAACCAAGACATGACTTTTGATTGAGTCGACTCAAAAGTCGTCTCAACGCACTCCATAGCTAGGTTGTAATCCAGAAAGAGCCAACCAAGAGATGACTTTTGAGTCGACTCAAAAGTCGTCTCAACGCACTCCATAGCTAGGTTGTAATCCAGAAAGAGCCAACCAAGACATGACTTTTGAGTCGACTCAAAAGTCGTCTCAACGCACTCCATAGCTGGGTTGTAATCCAGAAAGAGCCAACCAAGACAATTTTTGAGGCGCCTCAAAACTCGCCTTGATTCTTTAGGTGCCTCAAAAATCTCAATATCTAAGTTATACTCCAGAAAGAACCAACCAGAGGGACGCAAAGGCCTGACAACCAGAGCAGTTCCCATTTTGCCAGCACCGGCCATACCTGTACAGCTTGCTCTCACTCTTTCTGCCCCGCGCTGCACCGCACTACGCCTACCTGAATAGCAGAGTAGCCCAGGGAGAACCAGGCAGATGCATGCAGCGGGCTGATAGCCAGCGCAGCCTGCCAGTGAGCCATGGCTGCCTTGAAATCCTTGCTGTTCATTGCCATGCGCGCTAGTGCTCTCTGTATTGAAAAGGGTGAAGAGAGATGGAGAGAGGAGTGGAGAGTGTTGAACAGCAGCCTCTCCTTTTCAGCCTCCCAGTGAGCCATGGCTGCTTTAAAGTCCTTGGCGTTCATTGCCATGCACGCTAGTGCTTGCTGTGATGGGGAGTGGGAGCAGAGCAGAGTAGAGGGAAAGGGGGAATGAGGCCACGTCTCACTAAGAGAACTCTCCAACTCCCACACCTTCCCACGTCTTTCCCAGTTCACATGCAAAGCAGCCATTCCTGGTTTTGTTTTGAGAATAGTGAGTTGTGAGTCGACTCAAAACGCAGCCATTCCTGGTTTTGTTTTGAGGATAATAATATAAAAAAAACCCTGGAACGCCTTCCGAGCCTTCTTTCTCATCGCACTCCTCCTCAGGGAAATCTCAGAATCATGTTTGAGGATTCTCAAAAGCCCACCCCTCCTGCCACTGTACTGTCAACATACCACCATTACGTCCGTTGATAACACCTTACGTACTATGCCGCACCGCACTGTACTGCAATGCACCACACTCCACCACCGCTCTCCATACCTGTGCGCGTGCATATCTGTGTCGGGAAAACTCCCAGGCCTTCTCATAGCACTCTTTCTCCTCCGTCAGATCTCCCAGGCAGCACCACAGGCGTGAATCCTCCTTCTGCTCCTTCAACCTCGCCGTCACCAGCGCTGCTGCTGCTGCCCGTTTTCCCAAAAGGCTGAGATGGGGGAGGAGGGGGGGAGTGGAGGAGGGGGGGAAGGGGAGGATGGGGGGAAAGAAGGACAGATCCCAGGCAGCACCACAGGCGTGGATCCTCCTCCTGCTCCTTCAACCTCGCCGTCACCAGCGCTGCTGCTGCTGCTCTTTTGCCCAGCAGGCTGGGATGGGATCATGGGAGGAGCGGAGGGGGATGGGATGGGGTTGAAAAACTATGTTTCAGCCTTGCCGTCACCAGCGCCGCTGCTGCTGCCTTCTTCCCCAGAAGACTGAAATGGGGGTGAGAGGAAGGGGGTGCTTGTGCGTTGAGTCGACTCTACTACAACAACAGATGGCCACAGAAGCTCACTCGTTCCCCTCGAACAGGTGTATGCCGAGTTAATTCGAGACACACTTGAAGAGTGTACTGTGTACTGTGTACCTTGCAGGCTAGCCGTGTGAATGTGAATCAAGTGTACCTGCAGCTCAACTCAAAACCATGTCTAGTGCACCGTTGCTAAACAGTGTTCACCTGTAGCTGTGCTCATCTCTATTAGAACAGATGGTCCCACAGCTGGATCATTACAAACGGTCACACCTGCATACCAAGTGCACCCTTTTCATTGTTTCCGAGTTGACTCACAACACACGTGTGAAGTGAAGTGCACCCACCCTCCTTTGCAGCTGACCTGTAGCAGTCGATCAGATGGTCCCACAGCTCGTTCGCCTCAAGAACCGTACTGTACCTGCATGTAAGTGCACCCTTGCAGTGCACCCTACCTTGCTCGCAGTGCTCACCTGTAGCAGTCGATGAGATGGTCCCACAGCTCATTCGTCTCAAACACGCGCATGGCCTCGCCCACACATCCGCTCGCCACCAGCACCTCCCCATACTCCCTGCCGTGATGTGTAAGTGGGGGCGGGAGGGGGTGGGGTGGGGATTGGGAGGGGTAAGAAATTGGAGGGGTTGGGGAGAGAGTTGGTGTTTGGTTGGTGCAACACCTTGCCACATCCCCTGTGTTGGTGACGTGATTGTGGAGAAGTGTGGATGGGGAGACGGAAAGGGAGGCTGGGAAGAGACAGAGCAGTTGTTCCGTCTCCCAGCAAGAAGTTGACGTGATTGTGGAGAGGTGTGGCTGGGGAGACGGAACAACTGATCTGTCACCATCAGTTGACGGGATGGATTTTTGAGAAGTTTCAGGCGAAACCTAGGCTGGAGTCTGGGGAGCACAGAGAAAGACTGAAAGCAGCTGTGTTGGACAGTTTACGGTTTTGATGTATTTTTGTGCTAGCTTGGATAATGTTGGTGGTTTGAACCAGTTTCGTTGGTGTTACTTTTGAGAATCCTCAGAGTAACACCAACATAGCCAGCCTTCAGGATCACTTATTGCAAAGGTCTCGTGGTTTGGTTTGGCCTGTGACTCACTTGGAGAGAGTACAGCAGGCATGGTGGGGAACCAAACAGCAAAGCAGTATTGCATTGTTTCTTCTCTGCTGCCTCCCTTTTCAGCTCTCTCAAAGATAGGATGTGATTTTCTCAAAGAGAGCAGGCTGGGGTGTAGCTCACTTGAAGAGAGCAGGCTGTGACTCACTTGAAGAGAGCAGGCTGTAGCTCACTTGAAGAGAGCAGGCTGTGACTCACTTGAAGAGAGCAGGCTGTGACTCACTTGAAGAGAGCAGGCTGTGACTCACTTGAAGAGAGCAGGCGTGGTGGGGAACCAAACAGCGAAGCAGTATTTCATCCTCCCTGCTGCCTCTCTTTTGAGTCGACTCAAAGGTATAACATAGCTCACTTGAAGAGAGCTGGCTGTGACTCACTTGAAGAGAGCAGGCGTGGTGGGAAACCAAACAGCGAAGCAGTATTTCATCCTCTCTGCTGCTTCTCTCGCTTCCTCCTCCGGCAACGCAGCCGCCACAGCTCCTCCCGATGATCCCGAGGCTGCTTGCGATTGCTGCTGGCGAATCCTCTTCTCCTGATGTGAGACTGACTGGATCTGAAGTGGGAGCACACCACCGCACCGCACAGCACAGCACAGCACAGCACAGCACAGCAATAAAGGAAACCATACGGATCACAGTCATCTGCTCGTAGACAACAAACATGTGGAGAAGTGACTTGACACCTGTGTTCCCTTAGCTTGGTGGCGTGAAATTCAAAGAATTTGAAGAACGAGATTTCACGCACACCAAAGGACAACACCAGGAAGCAAGATGGAACACAGAAATGTGCTTTACAAGCCGCAGGTAGCAGAAGCCTGATAATCCATTCCTTCCTATTCACTCCCAGCCCAGCTCACCAGTCGCTCCATTCCTCCTCCCTCACCAATCACTCCATCTGCCCTCTGCTTTGTGTGCGAGTGCGAGCGGTCACAAGATGCCACTGAGACGTCTCAAGCTACAATGGCAGTATTCCTTCCTTACCCACACACTCCCCACTCACCAGTCGCTCCATCGTCGCAACTGCCCTCTGCCGCGTGTGCGGTCGAACAGAAGAAGCCACTGAGGCGTCTCAAGCTGTAATTTCTGTTCCCCATTCCATTCCTTCCCCATCCATTCCCCCTCACCAGTTGCTCCATTGTCGCAACTGCTCTCTGCCGCGTGTGCGGTCGCTTGCGTTCCCACCGCACCCTCAGCAGCTCACAGCCCGCTTTCACCTGTGGAAGTCAGGTGGAGGGCAGGAGCAGGGTGAGTGGGAGTAGGCAAGAGGAAGGAAACGGGTGTGCGGTCGCTTGCGCTCCCACCTCACTCTCAGCAGCTCACAGCCTGCCTTCACCTGTGGAGGTGGGGAAGGAGGGGAGGTGGGGAGGAGTGAAGCGGGAGGGAGGAGAGAAGGTGAGAGGAAGGACATGAGTGTTAGCCTTGCTTGCACTCCCACCGCACCCTCAGCAGCTCACAGCCTGCCTTCACCTGTGGAGGTGGGGGAGGAGGGGCAAAAATTTTTGAGTAAGTTTGCGGTGGGAGGGAGGGGAGGGGGTATGAGAAAGCCTCTTGTGTTCCACCGCGCCCTCAGCAGCTCACACCCCCCTTCACCTGTGGAGGCAGCTAAAGAGGGTCGGTGGGGAGCACGGGAGGGGGGAGGAGGAGAGAAAGTAAGAGAAAGGGCACGGGTGTTAAGCCTTGCATGTGTTTTCACTGCACCGAACCCCCAGCAGCTCACAGCCTGCCTTCACTTCACCTCTGGGAGTCCGGTGGAGAGGAGGAGAGGAGAACGTAAGGTAAAAATTGTGTGGAAGGGAATGGGTGTTAGCACTGCTTGCGATCCCAGGGCACGCCCAGCAAGGTGACTTTTGAGCAGACTCAAAAGGCACTGCTTGCGATCCCAGCCAGGGCACGCCCAGCAGCTCACCCCACCTCTTCGCCTGTGGAAGTCAGTTCGTAGAGCCAAATGCGTTCTCAAACAGCCAGAGAGAAAACACACTACTACCAGAGAACACACACGCATGCACCCATGCACGCACGCACCCATGCATGCACGCACCCATGCACGCACGCACCCATGCACGCACACACCCATGCACGCACACACCCATCCATGCATGCACACACCCATGCATGCACTAATTGTGTTTCACATTGGTGTGATCGGGCAGGGCAGCAGCAGCAGCATATCATGGCTGGCCGGGATGTTTCACTGGAAGGAGTTGTTCTTGTTAGCTTTTCTTAAGCGGTTGTTGCGGTGAAGCCTCCGCAACAGAAGTTTCGATCACGTTGGGTGGGATGTGTTGCTGGTTGTTGTTGTTTTTTTTTTTTTTTTGTTTTTTTTTTTTAAGATGGTTATTTTTTTTCTGATAAGGTGGGGCAAGGCAAGGCAGCAGCAGCATACCATGGGTGGGATGTGTTGTTGCAGAGTGATTGCTTCGATATAAGGCGCTGCTTCCCAGCCTGTAACACAGTTGTTGTCACACATTAGAAAAAGGAAAAAAACAAAAGGAAAAGGTTCACGCTTACAAGAAAGAAGGACCGAAAGAGCAAACTGAAGAAAGAAAGAAACTTCTTTTTTTGAGTGGCATGGCGTCTAAAAAGGCCTCTGCGTGTCACAATCTGTCTACGTTTCTAAGAAGTCTCAGAAGTCATCCCACTCACCTCTCAGTTCATCTGCTGCGTTTTGCTTCACTGTGACAACAGCCATTGCCAGCACCGCCGCCTGCTCATCACCCCTCAATGCCCCTCCCTTTCCCCTCATCCCCCCGCCCGCCCCTTCTTCCCCAACGCCTGAAAGGCCATCCCACTCACCTCTCAGCTCATCAGCAGCGTTTTGCTTCACTGTATCAACAGCCAGCGCCAGCACCGCCGCCTGCTCAACACCCCTCAGCACACCACTCGTGCCACCATCGACAGCACTCTGCTTCTCTTCCTTTTCACCCCCATTTGCCACGATCTCACCCCCACCACTTCCCCCTTCCACCAGCCGCGGGGCCAGCAGCACATCACACTCCTCCGGCTCGAACAAACACTCCAACTCCTCCATACTCTCCCCCTCCTCCTCCTCCTCCCCCCCATCTCCCTCCTTTCCACCTTCCCCCTTCTCTCCCTTCTCTTCTTGCTGCCCTTGCCTGTCCCCACATGTCACATCCTTGGGTAATTCCATATCGCTTAACACTGCCCCATCTCCTTCCTTAAGGGCGTCACTTCTTGTCACTGCCAGCACAAGCTGTGCTTTGGGATCGACCTGTGTGCATGCAGCACAGGGGACAAAGGATTGGCAGTGCGGGAGGGGGATGAGGCCTGTCAGTTTCACACCGCCCCATCTCTTTCCTTTACGGCTTCGCTTCTTGTCATTACTAGCACGAGCTGTGCTTTCGGATCGACCTGCGTGCATACCATGGGTGAGTGGGAAGAAGAGTTGAGAGGAAGATGTGGGAATGCGGGAGGGGATGAAGGCGTGTCGCTCAGCTTTTCTCCATCTCCTTCCTTCACGGCTTCGCTTCTTGTCATTATCAGCACGAGCTGTGCTTTCGGATTGACCTGCGTGCCTACTGTGAGAAGCGGAGGTGGGAAGGAAATAGGGAAGGAGAGGCGAAAAAAAAGAGATTGGATGAACATATGCGAATGCTGCAGGGGGCGAACCAAATCATGGCCCATATCCTGTCCAACTGCGCTTTGTCACCACCATACACATGCCATTTTATAGAAGGCAATGGTCATCACATGCCATGCCATGCCATCCCATGTGTGTGACCCACACCCAACCCACCCTGCTGAAGTCCTGTGCATGCATGTGCGCATGCACCCCCACTTTCAAGCCCTTCCTCTCACCCTTTTGAGGCGCCTCAAAAGCCCTTTCTCTCACCCCTACCCTACCCCTGTTCACCTGATGTATGGTGCGGTACCCCATGGCTCCAGTGACACCCAGCACCACTCCGCACTCCTGCAGAGCTCTCTCAAACCACTTCCTGCCCGCCAGAGTGGGTGTTTGTTGTGGGTGCGAGGAAGTGGGGGGGAAAGAAGGGGGAAGGTGGAAGGAATGCGGGATGGGAATGATTGAGCCATGGAACAGCGCTATTCTGCGCTGGGGATGCGCTATTCTGCGCTGGGGATGCGCTATTCGCTGGGGAGTTGTGTGAAAAGCAGAGTAGCGCATCCCCACATTGTGAAAAGCAGAGTAGCGCATCCCCACATGGTGAAAAGCAGAGTAGCGCATCCCCACATTGTGAAAAGCAGAGTAGCGCATCCCCACATTGTGAAAAGCAGAGTAGCGCATCCCCACATTGTGAAAAGCAGAGTAGCGCATCCCCACATTGTCCACGTGTCAGGCACACACCTGGCAGTGTCCACGTGTGCATACGCCATGTCCATCATCCCAGCCTCCAGATGCACCATCGCTGCCACCCGCACACACACTTCCCCCTCCCCCTCCCCCTCCTTCCCCCCCTCCTTCTCCCCTCCCTCCGCCTCCTCCTCCTTCTCCTCCTCTTTTCTAAACAAAGCTCGTCTCACGGCATCTTTCCTCCCCAGCGTCTCTCCCAGGTGAGCAGTGCAGGGGAGCAGCAGGGCGCGGAGGGAGGGGGACCGCTCCTGTAGCACCCTCTGGTGAATAACGACAACCCTCGCCGCCCACCAGGGCCAGGAGGGCGGCAGCAAGGACGGGGAGAATGCCTCAGAAGGTTTGACAAAGGGAGTGGAGGAGGAGGGGGAGGAGGAAGAGGAAGGGGAGGGGAATATGAGTGGGAAGAGAGGGGGGAGGAGGAGGGTCCTGGCGAGTAGGAGGTACTGGGGGAGGTGGCATCTGCCTGTGACGTCAGCACCATCTGTCATGAGCTCCACCTGACACCACTTGCTCAGCGCCACGCGTGCCACCTCGCTGGCGAGGAATGAGGGGTGGCTGGCAAGTGCTGACGTGTCAACGGGGGTTGCTGACGTGTCGCTGCTGGCTGGTGCTGGGTTGAGTGGGAGTGTTGAGACTGCAGAAGGCTCGGGACTGGTGGTGGTGAGAGAGAAAGAGGGAGTGGAGAGTGAGAGAGGAGGGAGTGGAGCGAAGGGAATGGGAGGCATGGGAGAGGGGACGTGGGAGGTGGAGGGAGGTGAGGGAAAGGGGGGCACATGAGGAGGAGGGGGGGAAGGAGAAAAGGGGACAACAGTTGAATTTATGTTTGAATGTGCGACGATATGGGAAATGGAGGCACAGTGATCACATGATTTTGATTCGTGTCCCCATTTCACAGCACGGGGTTTAGGGTCCAAGCCTGAAATTCAAGGACCAAGGTTTAAGGCTCAGGGTATGACCTTTTAGGCTGTGGGATAAAAAATTTAGGGCTGCAAGTGGGCTTGCGGATTAACTGTGCGATGAAGCTTAAGCTTAAACCCCAAACCCTGAGTGCCCTCACTGCCCTGATTACCCTGACTGGTTCTTGAGAATTCCCAGTATCCTAATCCTGGTTTTCTGGATCCACGCCTCTTTCACTGCACGTCTTGGTAGCCTCTGCTAGGCAACCAAAGGAATTCAGTAGCTCACATCCATTCTTCAGTGTAAGCACGTGACCCTCACTCCCATTCTCTCGTTATAAGCACGTACAGTCACACCCACCCGCTAACATTCGCCTGCACGAAGAGGCAGAGGCTCGCCGCCCCCATCATCAGCACCAGCAGCGCCTTCTCTCTCGCGCTCCACTTGCCAACCCTCTCCTCCTCCTCCCCCTCCATCTTCCCGCTTCCCGAGTGAGGTTTCCCCCCCTCCACCAGCAGCGCGCCGACTCTCCCCCTCACTGCGCAGAAAAACGCTTCCGCCGCGGCTGCGCCCGCGGCCGCTTCCCCTGGCTGGTTCTCCGCGCGCGCGGCCACTGCTTCCGCCAGCTGCTCCGCGGAGGGGAGGACCGCGAGGGCGGAAGATGCGCGCTCCAGCGCGGCTGCATACCTCCCCGCGCTGATGAGCGCAACCACGGAGCCTAGCGCGGCTAACGGCCGTTCGCCTGACCTGTTGTCTCTTGAACCGCTAAGCCCGTCACTATCGCAAGCGAGTTTTCGCGAATGTAGCTCGTCGCGATGTCGTAGCGCGAACGACGGCGGCGCTCCGAGCGAGGCGAGCAAAAGCTCGACTTCGAGTGATCGCTCCGCGATGCTCCCGCTAGAGCTAGCGCGTGCCATGGTGACTAATCTTCGCGTTATTGGCTATGGAATTTATGTTTGTAGAAGTAGTTTGGGCCTTTAGCGAAACAGCCTTTGTGGCACCCGTTTACATATTTCGCATCAGACGTGAGCGAACGTGAGCGAAACGACGGTCGTTAGACCTTCGGCTAGAAGTCGCAACCTCAAGCGAAACGTGAGCGAAGCTCCAACAGAATATCAGCGAAAATTAGCGAACGAAACCCACTAGGCCGATCAATCGCGAACTCCGTAACATGTCGCTTCCCTCTGCAGTTTCGCTTTGCAATTCCAACCCAAAGCACCATTGATAATTCCGCCACCCCACATCATCAAGCCTACTAGCCTTCCGCCTACTTTCTTCATCGCGTCCCAGGCTTGCGCCATTTTCAGCTGCTCTGAAAAGGCTCGATCAGAGGAAGATTTTTACCACGTAAAATAATAGTTCGACTTTGCGGTCTCTGCCTTAGAGATTTCTTCTCAGAGAACTGTCGTCCTCTTGGCTCTTCAACACAGTTTTTTAGGCGCCTCTAAAAGGCTCTTCGCCACCGCTCGCCAGAACCGCTCGCCAGAACCGCTCGCCAGAACCGCTCGCCAGCACCGCTCGCCAGCACCGCTCGCCAGCACCACTCGCCAGCACCGCTCGCCAGCACTAAAAAATGGACGAGCTATACAGCGACGACGACGGGTACGCGTCGCCCATCGACGATAACGAAGACGATGCACTGTCGGATAAGGGTGAGGAGGAGCTGGATCGCGACGAGGAACGCATTCAAAACCCCGCAACCATTCTCAACCCCGACGGAACGTACCGCTGCCCGTTCTGCCCGGGGCAGATGAAGCAGGATTACAAATTCAACGAAGTTATGACACACGCAGAAGCTCAATCGAAAAAGACGTCGAGAAAAGGGGCCAAGGAGAGTCGGCGGCACAAGAAGCTGGTGGAGCGGCTGATGCGGCCGGACATGCAGCCGGAAAAGCCTGCTCGGGCTGTAAACGCGGCACCTCTTCAGACTCCTGCGGTTGTGGAGGTAAGACATGGCTTATGAAGTGTATTCAATTTTCTTTTTCGTACTTAATGCACATCTTTCCGTTGCATCGATTTTTTTTTTTTTTTTTGTATATTTATTTTCCTCTTGTATATATCTACATATACACATATTTGTTTTGCAGGATAGGATTCTCTGGCCGCCCGTGGCGATTGTGAAGAACCTGCAGACGTATTGGACGTATGATAAGATTCAGAACAGGAAGATTCTGGGCGGCACCACTCGGGAGGAGCTGGAAAGCACTCTTAAGAACTACGGCCCACGGAAAGTGGATGTTCTTTACAGTGCGTGGGGGGTGATGGGGGGGGGGGTGGGTGGGTAGATGACATGACTCATACACATGCTTGCATCTCTCATCGCGAGACAGAAAAGGGAGGAACATTCTGGGCGGCACCACTCGTGAGGAGCTGGAAATAACTCTTAAGAACTATGGCCCGCGGAAAGTGGACGTTCTTTACAGTGCGTGGGGGGTGATGGGGGGTGACAGTGAGTGGGGGGTGATGGGGGGTGACAGTGAGTTGGGGGGTGATGGGGGGTGACAGTGAGTGGGGGGTGATGGGGGGTGACAGTGAGTGGGGGGTGATGGGGGGTGACAGTGAGTGGGGGGTGATGGGGGGTGACAGTGAGTGGGGGGTGATGGGGGGTGACAGTGAGTGGGGGGTGATGGGGGGTGACAGTGAGTGGGGGATGGCGGGGGGTGACAGTGAGTGGGGGGTGATGGGGGGTGACAGTGAGTGGGGGGTGATGGGGGGTGACAGTGAGTGGGGGGTGATGGGGGGTGATGGGGGGTGACAGTGAGTGGGGGGTGATGGGGGGTGACAGTGAGTGGGGGATGGCGGGGGGTGATAATACTGTGCGTGTTATACAGTGCCGTGGGCCGCGGAAAGTGGATGTGTAATACAGTGCGTGGGGTGTGAGGGAGGGAAGGGCTGGAGAGGGAGAGAGACTCAACATGGGGAGGGGAGTAGGAGTGCTGTTGATAGCAAATGATCTCATGTCAATTCGAGCTTGTCACATCCGCATTCGCATGCGGCATGCGTGCCGCCTGCCTGCCTCTTTCATGCCCTCCAGTTTCATGTTGCTCGTTGAGTTCTCCCCTATCATCTTCACTGATTTCGTTGATGAGACCACAAGGTTCGACGGATCATCTTCACTTCACGTGGAGGAGAGGAGAGCGCGCCAAGGGGTGGGAGACCACACCACATACACATGCCTGCCGCTCAGTTTCTTTCCAATTTTGCTTGCTTCCTTGATTCGATCCTCACCCACCCTTCATCAGACTTCAGCGGCCACACAGGGGCGGCTCTGATTCACTTGGAGGAGGACGCGCCAAGGGGTGGGTGGGTGGGAGCCCTCCTGCAGACATTCACATGTCTGTCTCTCTCTGTCCTTTCCAGCTGCCTGCATCTCTCTCTTGACTCCCCCCCGTCCTCAGACCGCATGAGCCATACCGGCATGGCTCTGATTGACTTTGGGAAGAACGCGCCTGCCCTTGATGGAGGCTGGGAGGCCACATCCACATGCCTGCCTCTTTGTTTCTTTTCTAACTGCATCACTCCCTTGACCCCCCCCTCCTCTTCCTCAGACCGCATGAGCCATACCGGCATGGCTCTGACTCACTTCGAGGGAAACGCCGAGGGGTGGGTGGGAGGCTGAGAGAGAGAGAGAGAGAGAGAGAGAGAGAGAGAGAGAGAGAGAGAGAGAGAGAGAGAGAGAGAGAGAGAGAGAGAGGCCACATGCATACACATGCCTGCCTCTGTGCTCCTTTCCAATCTGGGCTTCTCTTCTCATTCAATCCTCACCCTTCATCAGACTTCAAGGGCCATACTGGCAAAGCTCTCCTTCTCTTTGAGGAAAACGCCAAGGGGTGGGAAGCCGCCTCGAAGCTGGACAAGACATATAGCCAGGCAGGGTTGGGGAGGAAGGGGTTCTCTAATGGGAGGAGGGGCGAGACCAAGGAGTTGTTCGCGTGGGCGGCAAGGGAGCAGGATTTGAAGGAGGAGAGTGAGAAGGGGCCGCTGGGGAGTGTGCTGCACAAGAAGCACAAGGCGACCAAGAGCTTGAGGGAGGTGAGTTTGGTTTGGTCTACAGATCTGACTTGAAAGGTATCTGGGGGTTAATGGAGTGAGAAGGGGCTGGTGGGGAGTGTGCTGCACAAGAAGCACAAGGCAACCGAGAGCCTGAGAGAGGTGAGGTTCGGTGTGTAGATGTGACTCTGGAGGTGTTTTGGGGTTAATGGAGTGAGAAGGGGCGCTGGTCTGGTCTGGTGAATGTGCTGCATAAGTAGCACGGGACGACTGAAGATTCTAAGGGAGGTTATGTTTGTTCATGGATGTGACTTCAGATCGACGGTAGAGGGTGAGTGAGGATGAGCCAGTGGGGAGGGGAGGTGCTGAAGAGGTATGTTTTGAGTCGACTCAAAACACACCTGGTAGAGGGTGAGTGAGGATGAGCCAGTGGGGAGGATGAGCCAGTGCGTGTTTTTTGAGAATTCTCAAAAAACACGCAGTGGGGAGGTGCTGAAGAGGTAATATGGCATCTGTACGCTCCTCTCTCTTCTCTTTTCCCCTACTCTCTTCTTGCGTCCTCAGGTGTTGGACGAAGAGGAGTCAGTGAGGCGGCAGCAGGAGAGGGAGGAGAGGCGGGTGCAGGAGTGGGCGTTGATGCGTTTAACTCACTCTGCCCCTCTTCTCCCCCTCTCCCCTCCCATCCCCTCCCCTCCTTGCGTCCTCAGGTGTTGGACGAAGAGGAGTCAGTGAAGCGGCAGCAGGAGAGGGAGGAGAGGCGGGTGCAGGAGTGGGCGTTGATGCGTTTAACTCACTCTGCCCCTCTTCTCCCCCTCTCCCCTCCCATCCCCTCCCCTCCTTGCGTCCTCAGGTGTTGGACGAAGAGGAGTCAGTGAAGCGGCAGCAGGAGAGGGAGGAGAGACGGGTGCAGGAGTGGGCGTTGATGCGTTTAACTCACTCTGCCCCTCTTCCCCCCCTCTCCCCTCCCATCCCCTCCCCTCCTTGCGTCCTCAGGTGTTGGACGAAGAGGAGTCAGTGAAGCGGCAGCAGGAGAGGGAGGAGAGGCGGGTACAGGAGTGGGCGTTGATGTGTTAAACTCACTCTGCCCCTCCCTTCCCCCCCTCTCCCCTCCCATCCCCTCCCCTCCTTGTGTCCTCAGGTGTTGGACGAAGAGGAGTCAGTGAAGCGGCAGCAGGAGAGGGAGGAGAGGCGCGTGCAGGAGCGCGCGTATATGCGCCTATCAGAGCGACTGCAGGACACAGAGGGGCGGCTCAAGGAGATGGAAGATTCTGCTATGCAACTCAGGAAGAAGCACGAGCAAGGTGGGCCCGGGGCTGAATGGTAGGGAGATTATCTCAGGGAGCGTTGGTGGAGCATGCATGCGTGTTAGAGCCTGGCAGAGCGCCTGCAGGACACAAAGGGGCGGCTCAAGGAGATGGAAGACTTTGCAATGATGCTCTGGAAGAAGCACGGGCAAGGTGCGCAGTGCACAGCTTGGGGGGGTGATTTTCTGGGAGGGAAGTTTTGTAAGGGAGGATTGGTGGTGGGGTGGATGCATGTGGTGGTGGAGAGTGAGGCTATTGGAACGCGCACAAGAAGATCCCAGAGGGGCGGTTCAAGGACGAGGATTCTGCTATGATGCTCAGGAAGGTGCACGAGCAAGGTGCGCAGTGTGCAACATGGGAGAGAATGTATGTGAGGGTTGTGATTAGGGTGTATGGTATGGAGTATCAGTTGCTGTAGGCAGGTGAGCTGAGTGAGAGATTCCGGGAGCTGCCACAAATATTTGCAGCGACTGAATGTCAGGTTGCATAGGCGAATCAAGGAGCTCATGCCTTGAGGTATTGACGTCTTTGTCAGTTGACGCACCTCAATTGATGTCACTACCTCAAGGCATGAGTGCCTTGATTCGCCTACGCAAACCGGCGTTGAGTCGCTGCAATTCCTTTGCGAGAGCTCCCAGAATCTCTCACTTAGCTCACCTGCTACAACAACTGATACCCCATCGCACCTTTATTACGAGCAAGGGGAAGTATGTGGTGCACACATGTGAAAGTCAGTCAAATAGCCTGTGGGAGGGAGTGCTTGCTTGCAGGACACAGAGGGGCGGCTAAAGGAGATGGAAGACTTAGTATGATGCTCAGGAAGAAGCACAGGCAAGGCGTGCGGAAGGTGTTGCGAGACGGGGATGATGAAGAAAGTGTTATGGCGTTCAGATCACATTCGGGATGGCATGAAACGAGAAGTGAAAGGGCTGTTCCCTCCCCTTGTCCTGTTACATGCCTTTTGTCACACCTTTGAAGAAGTGTTTTGAGACGTCTCAAAACACTGTTCCCTCCCCTTGTCCTGTTACATGCCTTTTGTCACACCTTCCCTGTGTCCTCCCTTGTTCTTCTTATTGTTGCAGAGTTGGCAGAGGCACACGCGCACACACAGGAGGTGGTGGAGAGGCAGATGAGGAATCGCATGCGCGAGGTGCGGCGTATGGAAGGAGAGGTGGAGTGGCTGCAACAACAGCTGGAGGCGAAGAGTGTTGACGAGAAGAAGGTAAGGGGAAAATGGGGTGAGGGGAGAATGGGGTGAGGGGAGAATGGGGTGAGGGGAGAATGGGGTGAGGGGAGAATGGGGTGAGGGGAGAATGGGGTGAGGGGAGAATGGGGTGAGGGGAGAATGGGGTGAGGGGAGAATGGGGTGAGGGGAGAATGGGGTGAGGGGAGAATGGGGTGAGGGGAGAATGGGTTGAGGGGAGAATGGGTTGAGGGGAGAATGGGTTGAGGGGAGAATGGGTTGATTGAGGAAGGCAGATGAGGAATCGCATGGAAGAGGTGCAGGGCTTGGGAGGAGAGATGGAGTTGTTGCAACCACAGCTGGAAGCAAAGAGTGTTGACGAGAAGGTGAGGAGAAAGGTGAAGGGGGGTTGAAAGGAGGAACACTGGGGGAGGGGAGGGAAAGGGGTGGGGTGAGAGAGGAGAGGAGGAAAATGGGGAGAGGGGGGGTGCAACGAGGAGCATGAGGTGAGTGAGGGGAGAGGCAGATGAAGGACTGCATACAGGAGGTGCAGCGTATGGAAGGGGAAGTGGAGTGGCTGCAACGACAGCTTGAGTCGAGGAGACCAATGAGCAGGAGGTGAGGGCTTTTGAGGCGCCTAAAAAATTTGCGGGTAATGAGACGAATTTTGAGGCGCCTAAAAAAATTGCGGGTAATGAGACGACTTTTGAGGCGCCTCAAAAGAAGTGGAGTGGCTGCAAGGACAGCTTGAGTCGAGGAGAGCCAATGCGCAGGAGGTGAGGGGGTTTCTGAAGGAGGAGAGGGGTATTGACTCTCGTATATGCACTTTGCACATGCACTCTCACACACGCTCGCTCGCACGTGCACTCTCGCTCGCACACAAACACTACTATTTTAACCTTATGAGTGCCTTGCCTTATGACCTTGGTAAACTGCGTGCGAAGCTGTAAAGTAGCCATTGTTGGAAGAAAAGTTTGTCATCAAGGTTTCGCAGAAAAAGAAGACGGGGGCGGAAGGGACCACGGGAGCCAACACTCGCGAGGTGCTTTGCCCTATTGGAGCTACTTTTGAGAATTCTCAAAAGTCGCTCCAATAAAGGTGGGGGCCGAAGGAACCACGGGAGCCAACACTCGCGAGGTGCTATGCCCTATTGGAGCTACTTTTGAGAATTCTCAAAAGTCGCTCCAATAAAGGTGGGGGCCGAAGGAACCACGGGAGCCAACACTCGCGAGGTGCTTTGCCCTATTGGAGCTACTTTTGAGAATTCTCAAAAGTCGCTCCAATAGAGGTGGGGGCCGAAGGAACCACGGGAGCCAACACTCGCGAGGTGCTTTTCCCTAAAGGTTCCGGGCCGTGATGCGGCCCTCATGCGGCCATCATGCGGCCATCATGCGGCCATCATGCGGCCATCATGCAGCCATCATGCGGCCATCATGCGGCCATCATGCGGCCATTATGCAGCCATTGCCGTGATTTTCCCACTCGCGCGGTTGTTTGATGGCGTGTCGTGGTATCTATGATATCCCATTGCTTTTAGTCACATCCGTTCCGTTTTATGGCAGACGAGGCGGAGGCTGGAGGAGCTGACATGGAAGCTGAAGCAGCAGGAGCAGCAGGGGGAGCTGCAGCAGCAGCAGGCTCAGAGGCGAGCGGTGAGTGGCAAATGCTGGGGGAGGGTGGGGAAGGGAGTAGCGGAGAGGGTGGGAGAAGTCATGGGGAAGAATTGGAATGGAGTAAGTTTTTGATGCCCCAAGCTAGGCCTAGCTGGCATAACCAACAGGCGAACTTGAACAGTTCAACTGGCATGGCTGTTGGCCTGCCCCAAGTTCAAACTCTCTATAGAAGCGCGATAGTCCCGTGCCATTTCCTGCGAAACATTCGTGGTTACCGTGAAGCGAGTTTTGGGACGCCTTGAATCCGTTTTCTGTGGAGCGCCGGTACTGCAATCATGATGGAGTCATCTCTTTTGCCACGTGTAAAAAGTTTATTTTTGAGACGTCTCAAAAATAATCTTTTTACACGTGGCCCGTGTTGTTCCTCGGATGCCCATTCAATGGAGACGATCCTATCCACCTCGCCTTGCAACGGAGTCGACCCCGCCGTATCCCAATCTGCCACACACTACCATGCTCCTACTTCCATCCTTCCTTCCTTCATCCCTTCCTTTCCTACCGTCCGTCCCTCTTTCCCCCCTCCCCAGCGGGAGAAGAGGAGTTGGAGGGGATGTTTCAGCAGGTGCGGCTGAAGGTGGAGCAGAGGCATCAAATGGGGGTGCAGTCCGAATAAGGCTCAAACCACCTTGCCGCTCCCTCCTTCCCTCCATCGCTCCCTCTCCCCCCCTCACCAGCGGGAAATGGAGGAACTGGAAGCGAGGTTTCAGCAGGTGTGGCTGATGGTGAAGCAGAGGCATTTGAATGGAAATGCAGCTTGAGGAGGCTAAGTGCTCCTTGCTCTGGCTTTCATCCCTCCGTTCCTCTCCTTCTCCCGTCCTCACCAGCGCGAGATGGAGGAACTGGAGGGGATGTTTCAGCAGGTGCGGCTGAAAGTCGAGCAGAAGCACCGAATGGAGATACAGGTTGAGGAGGCCAAGGGCAAGCAGGCAGTAGCGGGGGTGGGGGAGGGGGAGGGGGAGGGGGAATTGGAGGGGGAGGGGTCTAAAGAGGCGGAGGAGAGGCTGAGGCGGCTGGAGGAGGAGTTGGAGGAGGCGAAGGAGATGGTGGAGGAGGAACAGGACCGGTTCTTTCGCCTGTCGGTGGTTGCGCGGGTCAAGGATGACGACGTGTTGAATGCCCGGAAGACCGCGCTCGAGGTGTGCGTGCGTGCGTGCTTGTTTGCTAGCCAAAGTTTTTCTAGTCGACTTGAAAGTCATCTTCATTCTTCATTCTGACGACCGGAAGACCGCGCTCGAGCTGCATGCTTGCTGGCTTGCCTTCAGGAGTGTGCTTGCTTGCCTGCCTACAGTGTGCTTTCCTGGTTACTGTTTGCTTGCCTGGTTGCATGCCTCATCACTCTGGCTCAAGGCCTTCCGAGCGTGCCGCACATGAAAGGCGTGCCCTGCTTGCGATGCGCTCAACTCACTCTTCTTCTCCCCTGCGCCCTGCCCTCTCCTCTCCCTCTCCCTCCTCTACCCCCTGTCCTCTCTCCTCCCCTGGTCCTTTCCTCCCATCCCCCCCTCCAGTTTCTGAAGGAGCATCAGAAGCATCTCAAGGCAGTGACCCTCCCAGGAGTACCCGAGCTGGTGAACAACCCTCCTGTGCGCCCCCAGACCGTGGGGCTGCTCAAGAAACCCCTCTGGCTCAAGGCCTACACGGCCTGCCGCACATGCAAGGCGTGCCCCGAGTGCCGGGCGAATAAGGCACTTAAAAAGTGCGAGCGGTGCAGGGCGTGTGGGGCGTGCAAGGAGGGGATGGAGGGTCGGGAGGAGCGGGACCCCAACTGGCAGGCGGATTTCACTGTCAAGTTCTCCGCGTGGGAGGAGCTGATCAGGTCCACTGATTATGACTTTTTCCGAGTCCAAGAAATAGATGGAGTTGCCAAGGTATGCCAAAAGCTCTCCATACCTAAGGTACATTTGAGTTGACTCAGAATTCACCTTTTTTTTTTGGTGGGAGGAGCAGATCAGGTCTAGTGATTATGACTTCTTTTGGCTACCAGCTTAAAAAAACTTCTGTCTCCGCTTCTTCTTCTGTTCCCCCCCATTTCCTTCCGTTCCTCCCTGCTTCCCTTGTACCAACAGCGTGTGTTCAACAGCACAGACGAGCTGGTAGCCAAGGCAATGAGAGAGTATGGAGGCGCCTTAACAGCCGTTTGTCCCTGCTTCTCCTTCTCCCCTGTTTCCTTGTGTCGCCTGCCTCCCTGTACCAACAGCGTGTGTTCAACAGCACAGACGAGCTGGTAGCCAAGGCGATGAGAGAGATTGAGGCCGATTTCGCGTGGGCGGGAGTGGCGGATTTCAAGCGAGCTGCCGCAGAAATCGAAGAGTACAACGCGAGTGGGCGGTACCCTGTTCTTCTGCTGGTCAGCACCGAAGGGGATGAGGCCGACGAGGGGAATGGAGGAGGCGAGGGGAGTTGCGGTAGTGAGGGTATGGCAGGAGGAGGGGAGCAGGCGGGAGCAGGAGGAGCAGGAGGAGCAGCAGGGGGAGGAGGAGGAGGTTGCGGGAAAGGGGCAGGGGGTGGGGAGGAAGTGGGTGGGGTGAGGAAGGTAGCCAAGATTGGGACTGTGGTGAGTTACCTTGTGGATATTCTGAAGGTGCTCATTGCTGCTGCGCCTAAGGCAGAGGCGGTGGAGGGGAGGAAGAAGAGGAGGGCGGAGGAGAGTGTGGAAGGGGCGAGTGTGGGGGGGAGGGTGGAGGGAGGGGCGAGGGGAGGGAGAGGGAGAGGGAGAGGTGCAGAGGGAGGAGCAAGTGGAAGGGGAGGGGCAGGGGGAGGGGGAGGGGTGGGGGGAAGGGTGGGGGATGATAGCAGGGGTGGGAGGAATCAGAGCAACACAGTGGAGTGGAGAGGGGTGGAGAATGGTTATGGGGGAGGTAGAGGCGAGGTGAGCACTGCTGGCAATGGCGGTGGTAGGGGTCTGGGCAGAGGTGGACGGGGAGGGCGGGGATAGTACAAAGATTAGAAAACATACACTATTTTCGGTTTGAGTGTGTTAGGCCCGACGGCCTAAGTCCGCTAAAGAATAGCGGGGTTGACTAAGTCGAGGATAAACGCGGCGGAAGACTTTGGCGAAAGAGAGTGTTGGCGAAATAGGCGAACTACCGTATACTCCCGGACAAAACACCCCCCCATAATTGTACACCCCCGGGTAGCTTGTGCGGGGTGGGTGTTATATAGACCTCGTTTCTACTATACCCCCCTTTTTGGCTGATTTTCTATAACACCCCCCTTTTCTTACGGATTCATTATTTTAGTCGTTAACGTGTAGCTGCAATACGGAAGAATATCGTGTGAATTTCTCCCTCAATGAAATTTCGCGGTACATTCAAAGGCAATCTGCCGAGATTTGCCCCCTCCCACTATTTCTCTGTTGCCACGTGCAAGTGAATCTTCCGTTGCAAGTGGCAATAGAGGTGTCAAATGGCATTTTCATGAGGGCGATGAAGTTCGAGGCCGAAACTCACATTCGCGCCTCATGCAGTGATGCTAAAACGACCAGCAAAACACCCACATTGACTAATTAAAAAAACACTAACTCTAAAATATGCCATATTTAAAGACCCGGGTATTATGCATTTTTTTCCTATGACGATACCCCCTCCATTTTTTCCCTGTATTTTTAGCTATACCCTAGGGTGTTATGTCCGGGAGAATACGGTAAGTAATTGATGAGTTGAATGAGAATTCATTGATATTGGTGGATACAAGCAAGGATGATATAGTATGCAAGGTCGAATGTCGGAAAGTACTTCGTGGGACTAGAAAGTAGAAGCAAGAAAAGTAGAGTGCCACGTGACACAAGGAAATCAAGGAAGATAAGGATAAGGGTGAGTTGGAAAGTACTGTTCAAAGGGAACAGTAAATCCCCCCTTAACAGAGTGTGGACATTGGCAAGTGTATCAGATTATATCCAGCCTAGGTGATGTGTCTAACTGTTGAAATTTGAGGTAGGCTAAATCGGGTTGATTTTGCACAAGGTTACTTAACGAATTTATAAAGAGAACACCGAGGCGATGTTACTGAATTTTTCCTTCCATTCCCGCCAAAACTTGTCGCACGCCCCGCAGTATTATTGTTTGAATTTCCGAGCTAACCATCAGCTGATCAACGTCCCTCAACCCAATACCACCGCAACACTAGGACTACTAATCTCCTTCCTTGTTCATGGCTCCTTATTCCAAGACCAACGAAGTGGCAATAGCCGCAAGGGCTTGTTCCAAGCGTACTAACGCTACACGCGTAACAAATTAACGCGCATTTTCCGCTTTCCATGGCTTCGTTTGCGGGACTTGAATCGGCGACTGCACCTGCGAGGGATAGCATTGGCCGCGATACTGTCAGACTCGCTAACGAGATAGTTGCGCCGTTGTGTGTTCCGGGCTTGATAAGAACCAATAAGGTCGGGATGGAACAGGAAGCGTTGGGAACGAAAGTCGAGGTGACGGAAAGAGTAGACGGCTGGCAGGCAGACCGAGGAATTGGTTCCCAACTTGACGGACGGCCGGACGGAATCCGTTCCTATTCTGGCAAAAGCCCCGACGGAATCCATTCTTATGCTGACGAAGGGCCGCCCGAAGCGACTGAAGCCAACACAGGACGGCCGCAAGGCGGGAATGAGGAATTGCATGACGCGGGGAGGGAGGACAGAGAACAGAGGACAGAGAGGACAGGGACAGAGGTAGCCAGTACCGCCGATGCTGGCGAGATGGAGAGGAGGAGACGCGTGAGTGGACTCAAACATGAGGAGAAGGCGGAGAGAGGTCATACCGGTGACGGCGGTGCTGGCGAGTTGGAGAGGTTACGGCGGCGGCTGAAGGAATGGGAGCGACGCTTTGCCGAGTCGCACGGCCGTGCGCCGTCCCGTGCTGACGTGGAGGCCGATCCGACTGTAGGTGAGTATTACAGTGCAGGGCAGGGAGGGGGGTATACAGTGCTTTGGCTGAGAGCATTGCGTTGTTGCTGCTGTTTTATGAAAGTTCTCCAAAAACCCACTGTTTTTTCTCCAAATCAATGGGTGTGACACTTGTTGATTGCAGTTCGCGAAACCTATCACGGGGTTGATTAAAAATATCTAATTTCTTTTTTTATCGTGTTCTTTTCCCTGCCAATCCTGGCCGCAGCTGAGCAGTATGAAAAATACGCCCGGCATAAGGAGCGGGAGAGGAGAAAACGGAAGAGGTCTCAAGAAGGTGCTACTACCGAAGCCGCTACTAACAAAGGGGCTTCAGCGGAAGGCGAGAAGGGATCAAATAACAAAAAAGGCAGCAGAGAGCATGTTACCGCGGACAAGAGTAGAAAGGGAGATCAGAAGCAGGCGAAAAGAGAAACACCTCACCAAGATAATAGAGAGGCCCGTGGGAGGGATGGTGGGGGCTTAAGTAGAGCCTCCCTGGGTTCCAGGTCGTATCTGCGCACGCAGCAGCAGCAGCAGCAGCAGCAGGTGGAGCCGGCAGCAGTGTGGCAAAGCAGCAGACCGTTCAGCCTTGTTGTGTGCGCAGGGGGGGGGAGGGGGAGCGGGAGGTGGAGGCGGAGGCAGAGGGGGAGGGGGAGAAGGAGGAGGTGGAGCGAGAGGAGAGGAAAGTGAGGAAGGAATGGGGGAAGAGGAAAAAATAAGGGGAGGGGAAGGCGAGGGAGAGGATCTGGCAGGTGAGGGAGCAGGAGAGGCGATGTTTAATGGGATTGCGGTGCCTGTTCGTCCTGTAGGCATGCTTGGCTGTATTGCTCCCTCGAGTCTGCTTGTAACGAGGATAGATAGATGGGCAGGGAGGTGGGGCGTTGAATGCAGAGACGCTGAGCTGGCAGGTGGGGCTGTGCCACTGCAGGTGCCTGACGTGGAACCTGTAGAAGCTGACGTGGTGCAACGAGAGGCTAATGTGGCACGGAGAGAAGCTGACGTGTTGCAGGGACGAGCTGATGTGGATGCGGCACGATGTGTGGTTGTAGAAGCAGCAGAAATAGCAGTGACAGCAGAAACACCACCAGCACCAGTGCCGCCAGCAGCAGAAGCTGCTGCTGATGGGACGGTGCAATTCCCAGCAGCACCATCAGAAGCAGCAGGAGCAGCAGGAGCAGGAGCAGGAGCAGCAGGAGCAGGAGCAGCAGGAGCAGCAGGAGCAGGAGCAGCAGGAGCAGCAGGAGCAGCAGCATCAGGAGCAGCAGGAGCAGGAGCAGCAACGCCATTGCTATCACCACTACCTGCAGCAGCACCATCAGACCCATCATTATCAGCAGCACCGCTATTAGCAAGAGAAGCATCAGGAGCGGCAGCAGCACAATCAGCAGCACGATCAGAAGTATCGCCATCATCACCACCACCACCAGAAGCAGCAGTAGCTGCAGAAGCAGGTGATTTGAGTCGCATGACTGTGGTGCAGCTGAGGGCTGCCCTGCTGGCCAATGGGCTGCCGACATCTGGCAGAAAGGCCGAGCTTGTGAGCCGGCTGGCAGGGGCTGGTGGGCATGTGGGTGGGGAGAGACGTGTATTTAGGGAGAGACGGGGGGATGAGGGGGTTGGGGGTGAGCTAGACGGGGTTGGGGGGCGTGTGGGTAGGGTAGGTGGGAGTAGAGGAAAGAAGGTTGGGGGAAGCAAGGGTAGGGAAGCGGGGCAAGGAAGGAGGCAGGTGGTGAAGGTGAAGGGGCGGAAGCGAGTGAGAGCAGAGGAGGGCGATGGTGAAGAGGCTGGGGACGCTGGGGAAAGGAGGGAGGAGCAAGGTGACGAGGGCAAAGGGAGTGCAGGGGAGAGAGCGGGTGGGAGAAGAGTCACTCGGCTGGCTGTTCAGAAAGCAAAGGAGGATGGGTTGGAGGAAAAAGAGCAAGGGAATGAGGGGAGGGAGGTGAAGGGGAGTAGTAAGGGGAGTGAGGATGGGAGTGAGGAGGAAAGTGGGAGTGAGAGTGGGAGCGAGAGTGGGAGTGACAGTGGTTCTGATTGGGGGAAGGAGAGGGGAGGGGTGAGCAGCAGCAGTGAGAGTGAGGAGGAGGAGATGGGGGGGGAGGAGGTGGAGGGAGAGAAGCAGGAGAGGAGCGAGGCAGATACAGCAGATAGAGTCGCATTCAATAGAGTCACAGCAGGTACAGTCGCAGCAGGTATAATCACACGTGAGGGTGAGAGAGGAATGGGTAAGCCTGCCCGCAGAAATGCATGCGGCAAGACCAAGGGAGAAGCTGGTGTGAGAAGGGCAGGGAAGGTGCCGATAAGAAAAGGTAGGAAGCAACAGAAGGGATTGAGTGGTGCTGCCGATAATGTTGGTGGCGGTGGCGGTGGTGGTGGTGGTGGTGCTGCTGCCGCTACTGTTACTCCTGTTACTCCTGCTACTGCTGCTACTGCTGCTACTGCTGCTGCTGTCGGCAGGGGTGGTAACGGCAGTGCAGCAGCAGTGGAGTATGGATGGGGTAACCCCTTAGCCCTGCAAGCCCTGCGACGGAAAGAGGCTGAGAGGAAGAAGCAGAGGAGGGTGGCTGCTGCTAGCGGCGCAGGTACCACTGGTGGTGGTGGGAGTGAGCGTGTAGGTTATGGTCTTACCAGCAGCAGGAATGCTAAGGGGCGGCCTGGGTTGCAAGGGAGAGATAATTTTGTTCGCCTGAATATCAATGGTAGAGGGGGTAAGAAGAGGTTCGGGAATGGTACCAAGACGAGCAGGTTCGGGAGTAGGAATGGTGGAGGGAGTAGGTTTGGGAGGTTCCGTGGTGGGTATGGAGGGGGGAGGAGGAAGGGGGGTTACAGGAAAAATGGGAAGGGAGGGGGGGCGGGGGAAGGGGGAGAGTGTGGGATGGGCTTGGGTGGATGGATGGATGATGGTGCGATGATGGGGTTGGAAGGGGCAGGAGAGAAAGGAGAGAGGGGAGAGGCCAGGGAGGGAGGGGCAGCCCTCAAAGTGCGTCAAATGGAGAATGAGAGGACGGTGGGGAGAGTGGGAGGAGTGGCACGGAGCGACAGAGGTAACGGGGTGTATGGGAAAGGGAGCCAGGATGAGAAGCAGGAGAAAGAGGCGGGGAAGGAGGAGGAGGAGGAAGAGGAGGTCGAGGAGATGGAAGGGGGGGATGACCAGGGCGAGGAGGAGAAAGCCACACAGGGCAAGAGACGAGTACAGAAGAAGAGGAAAAGCGAGGACACAGGAGCGGGAGAAGAGGAGGAGATGAGTGAGAGGGCTGAGAGAGTGGAGAGAGCTGGGATGGTGGAGGCAGCTGGAAGGGACCCTTCGGAGGGCAATCTGTTGAGGGTGCTGCGGAACGTGTTTGGCTTCGATCGGTTCCGCGATGGACAGGTGGCGGCCATCCAACGGGTGCTGCGCGGCCAATCAACGCTCCTCGTGCTGCCAACTGGCGCTGGGAAGTCGCTCTGCTACCAGGTGGGCGCTTATGTTACCAGGTAGCCGTCACTGTCACCAAGTCCCTCAGCCTGATGTCCATTAAACAGACCACATACTCCCCATGTCCTTTGTATCAGCCTGATGACGTTTGAGTTGACTCAAGAGTTGGCCACGGAACCCCTCTACATCAACCAACAGCACCTCGGCCTGCTTCTGCCACTTGCTCTCTTTCCATCCCTTTTCTCTTCCCAATCCTTCTCTCCTAACAGCTCCCAGCCTTCCTCCTCCTCGGCCCCGCTAGTGGCGTTAATGCAAGACCAGCTGGCACACCTGCCGCTGTGCCTTGTCTTGTGCTCCCTTTGACACCCACTCAAATCCCCCACAAACCCCGCAACCCCACTCCTCTCCCTCGCAGCTCCCAGCCTTCCTCCTCCCTGGTCTGGTGCTAGTGGTCAGCCCGCTAGTGGCGCTCATGCAAGACCAGCTCGCGCACCTGCCGCCCTGCCTTACCTTTCCTCCCCCACCCACCCACCCTCCTCATGACAGCTCCCAGCGTTCCTCCTCCCGGGCCTCACGCTAGTGGTCAGCCCACTGGTGGCGCTCATGCAAGACCAGCTCGCGCACCTGCCGCCCTGCCTGCCCGGTGCCCTCCTCTCGTCCTTCCAGGTGTGTGGGCGCTTGGTAGATAGATACATAGGTGTACATACATAGGTAGACTGGTTCGCCGGAAAACAAAATTGAGAAGTCACCTTCACTCTTGCCGTCAGCCCTTTGGTAGCGGTTATGCAACGTGCCGCCCTGCTGTCCGGTGCCCACTCGCATCCTTTCAGGTATGTGCCTCCCTCCCTGACCACATGCCCTCTCTTGTCTCACCTGCGCGCCTGGCAGCAGCATCCCTCCTTCCCCATTTTTCCAGCCCCCTCATCTCCCTCTCACCCCCCACTGTCTCACAGTCACCCCATGAGAGCAACGCATGGAAGAGGCTGAGAGCGGGAGGGGGCCTGAAGGCGAACGCCTGGCCATAACACCTTTTGAGTCGACTCAGAAGGCGAACGCCTGGCCATAACACCTTTTGAGTCGACTCAGAAGGCGAACGCCTGGCCATAACACCTTTTGAGTCGACTCAGAAGGCGAACGCCTGGCCATAACACCTTTTGAGTCGACTCAGAAGGCGAACGCCTGGCCATAACACCTTTTGAGTCGACTCAGAAGGCGAACGCCTGGCCATAACACCTTTTGAGTTGACTCAGAAGGCGAACGCCTGGCCATAACATCCCTCCTGCACTTGCTGTCCTGCCCCCACACCCCACCCCCCTGCCACACAGTCACCCAGTGAGAGCGGTGCAGTGATAGAGAGGCTCAGAGAAGGGGAGCTGAAGGTGCTGTTTGTGTGGCCCAAGCGCCTGACAGCACCGTCCATCCTGCCTCTGCTCTCCAACCCCCTTTCCAACCCACTCATACCCCTCTCATCCCCCTGCCTCCCCCTGTCTCACAGTCACCCGGTGAGAGCGGTGCAGTGATAGAGAGGCTCAGAGGAGGGGAGCTGAAGGTGCTGTTTGTGTCGCCTGAGCGCCTGGCTGCGCCCTCCTTCCTCCGCCTGCTCTCCAGCCTGCCCCAGGGCGTGTCGCTGGTGGTGTTCGATGAGGCGCACTGCATTTCAGAGTGGTGAGAATGGGTGCATGCATGCGGGCTGGGTTTTCTAGGTTCCAGTCACCCTGGAAGAGCTGAGTCGTGATCATGTTTTCAATAAATTTTCAAAAGCCAATCTCTACTTTTTGAGTCGACTCAAAAGTCATTCCAAAGGCCAATCTCTACCTCTCAGTGACAAATTTCTTCGACAAGACCCACTGCATTTAAGAGTGGGAAGGAGGGGCGAATGGGTACATACATTGTGATGTGCGCTGATTGGTAGGGGGATGTCTGTAACGAGCTGTCCCTTCAGGTTCTTTGGTGGCCGTCCTCTCCTTCCTGTCTTCACCTTTCATCACCCCTCTTCACCTCTCCTCACCTCTCTTAACCTCTCTTCAACTCTCAGTCAATGCCGCCAATCCCACGCTTCTTTGTCCCTCTCCAACTCTCTCGTCCCCACACGGCAGGTCGCACAACTTCCGCTCGGCCTATCTGCGCCTCTCCTCCATCCTGCTCTCCAGCGGTCTACTGGAGAGGCAGGCAGCAGCACCTGAAGAAAGAAAGGCTGCAGCAGCAGCAGCGGAAGAAGCATCAGACACCAAGGCTTCTTCTGCTGATCCCTCTTTTGCAGATGGTGGTGGTGGTGCTGCTGCTGTTGCTGCTGCTGCTTCTGATGTGGAGGGTACCAATGATTGTCTACCTGGTGGTGACAACACTAACAGTAGTAACATTCCCCGCAGGCCTTGCATTCTTGCCATCACTGCCACCGCCACGCGCCTCGCCACGTCATCGCTCATCGCAGCGCTGGGTATCCCGCCGGGCGGCGTGATTCGGCGCGGAGTGGTGCGGCCGAACCTGCACCTCTCAGTGTCAATAACCGGGGCCAAAGGACTTGTGCCTGGGACTGGTTCAGGACCTGCTGATGTGGTGGGAGAGAACAAGTGGGGGGGCGGGGCTGCAGCAGCAGGGCACAGCAGGCAGCGGGCACTGGTGGATCTTCTTGCGGCTCCTCCCTTCTCTTCTGCCCGCAGCATCATCGTCTACTGCTCCTTCCAGGTGGGTGCTCCTTCCCAGGTGGGAGCCGCTGTGATGTGAGGGGTCTATGCAGGTTAACGGGGCAGCAGCAAGGTAGAGCAGGCAGTTGGCTTTAGTGGATGAAGCTGCTCTTCCCACGTGGTTGACTGTGTGGATCCAAAGGGCAGAGCAGAGCAGTAGACAATCACCGTGTGTAGTGCCAGAATGCCCGGCATTCTGGCTGACTTGTGTCACGACCTGATACCTCCCCAGGTCTAGGGAGCCAGTGTCTGTTCGTTCCAGTTGCACATGCTGACAGTAGTGGCATGAAATGAAATTCTCTGGAGACCCGCTCACAACATGTTGTTTCCCTCTCCTTTCCATTGCCATCTCTTGAGCCAAATCAAGAGCCGCCATGTCTTTGCTTGCCCCTGTAACTCTCTCAGTCGAATCTTAATCTGTTTCCCTCTCTTCTCTCCCCTCCCCTGCCAGTGGGAGGCTGATGACTTGGCGCGCATTCTTCGAGACAACCGGATCGCAGCTCGGGTGAGTTGGGTGGTAAGAGGGTCACGTTTGAGACCTCTCAAATGTGTCTCTAAATCGCAGCTAGGGTGAGTCGAGTGAGAGGGGGACTTGCAGATGAGGTTTGCATTCATGATTGCCCAGCAGCTCCAGTGACTCTAGCGAGAGTGTAAAACTCAGAATGGAAAACGGGTTCCAGTAAAGCTCAGCTCCACCTGCCGATGAGTTCTGCAAGCTCCCAGATTCCGCTTGCTTTTCACTATGTTGCCCCAATCCCCAACCTCCTCCTTGCTCTGGTGCTTACGTCGCTTCATGCATATGTCTCATGTTCTCTCTGCTCTGTCATCTTCTCGTCTCTTCTCCTCTCCTCTATTCTCTTCTCCTCTCTTCTCCTCTCCTCTATTCTCTTCTCCTCTCTTCTCCTCTCCTCTATTCTCTTCTCCTCTCTTCTCCTCTCTTCTCGTCCTTCCCTTCCCATGCCACCTACCTCCAGAGCTACCACGGTGGGTTGCAAGCAGGCGAGAGGACACGCATCCTGCAGCGCTTCACAGCCAACAAGCTACGAGTGGTGCGTGCACTGCTGCCTCTGCTGCCTCTGCTGCCTCTGCTGCGTGTACTATCCAGTTGCATTCTGTGGTGTTCTGCAGGTTGTGGCAACACTTAGCAGACTCAAAAATCCGATCTGCAGGCTGTGCCATTTGAGCATCATTCACACCACTTGTGTAACCACTTGCCAAGCCAAACTCGTTCTCATTGCCTCTGTGCTGCAGGTTGTGGCGACACTGGCGTTTGGCATGGGCCTGGATAAGGCTGATGTTGGAGCGGTGAGTGGAGTGGCTTATGGATGGGATGGAGCTATGTGCATGGGTTTATGCATGTGGGCGAAGCTGTCGCTACACTGGTGTGGCGTTTGGCATGGGCTTGGACAGGGCTCATATTAATACCTGAGTGCAGATGGGGTTGTATGGATGTGACTATAAATTTGGATGGGGAATCTCATTCATAGATGAGTGAGTGAGGTTGCTTATGGAGGACTATAGTTTCATGCATATGCTATATATATAGGTGGGTTTATGTGATTTTTGAAGGCGGGGAAATACTGGTTTGCTTGCCATACATTTTCCCTCCACTCTTTTCTCCCATACATTTCCTCTTGTCGCTAGGTAGGCGCACTTCGGCTGCAGCATTGTTCCTTCGTTTTGGCTCGGTTCGTTAGTGTTATTGCCCTGTGTTTCCAGACTCCCGTATTCTCCCAGTGCTTCCCTTGCACCACTACTTTTTGAGGCGCCTCAGAAGCCACTTTTCTCCCTTCCGATCCCCCCAATCAGGTTGTGCATTACTCCATTCCCCGCAGCCCAGAACAATACGTGCAGGTATGATGCGGTGTGATGTAATATGATGCAGTATAGTGCGGTGCGTTGCGGTGCAGTGTTTTGTGGACGTTAGTGATGAGGGTTGGATGACAGGATCATGGGATGAACTATGAATGTATGAGATAATTGGAACGTAGAATTGTTTAGTCCCGCAATTCCACCACCTTTAGTCCAACCCTCTCTCCACTCTTTTCTCACACAGGAGGGATGGTAGGCTGTGCGCGGTGCAAGAGTCACCCCTCTCCACCTCCGCCCATGCTCATCTCACTTCTCTCTCCTGTCTCTCCCCTCCAATCTCCCACGTCTGCCATCTCTTTGCGGACTGCCGCTGCTACCTTCGCATGCCCTCTTCTCTCTTCTCTCGTCTCTCCCCACCAACGTCACTCCCCTCCACGCTCCACCTTCACAGGAGATAGGCCGGGCGGGGCGCAACGGGCAGCCCGCCTTCTGCCACCTCTTTGTGGACCGCCCCTGCTACCTTCGCCTGCGCAGCCTTGCACACTCGTTAGTGATGGACTCGTTAATGGCACAAGCGTTTGTGGCACACTCGTTCTCAGTCAGTGCTTGGCTCGTTTGTGTCACTTTTCGTCAACGACACACCTGACGCTATTTCTCAACGTTCAGGAGCACCACTATGACACTCCTCATATTGTGGTGGCATGTCTCTTTCTCATAGTAAACTCTCTGACTGGACACTCTTTAGTACCAGACTGGACTGGCCTGCTTACAAACACCTTCTATGTCAACATGAGAACCCACTTTTGCCCATGCCACCCTATCTCACCCCCATGCCACCCTATCTCACCCCATGTTCCCCATCTCACCCTCATATTCCCCGTCTCACCCTCATATTCCCCGTCTCACCCTCATATTCCCCGTCTCACCCTCATATTCCCCGTCTCACCCTCATA